GTGTAGTTAGAAGTCGGGGGCGCTTAGCAGCAGTGGGTTCTGAGTTACAGACTTCTCAGCGCAAGGCTGAGCCTCCTGACTGTGTGGTCCCCTTCTGTCTCCTCACGGTAGCTGGTGTGTCTGTCTGTTACTCACAGATGGGGGCTTGCTAACGGTTACAGTGAATTGCACGCCTGCTTGTTATTTCTCTCTTTACTTCTATCAACTTTGCTGTCAACTGCTTGAAGTCACATATGTGCACGCCGGCCCAGGTCTTCTCGTCTTTGTGACGTGTCCCCTTCACACGAGGCTTTGCTCCAGTTTGTCTCACGTCAACAGAGCTGCCTCCAGGTTTCTTCTGCTTGTTACTCACACAGGTTTTTTCTCCCCCCTAGGATTTTACTTTCAACCTGTCTCCGTTCTTACACTTTCAAGACGCATGTTTAGCAAGCTGCACCTCGCAGGGTTCTTACTTATTCCGTCTGTCAACATGTTTTCTTTTATTTGTATGTTAACATGTCTTCATTTTTTATAATTACCGATATATTTGTAAGCATACCATCTTACTCCAAGAGAAATATATTAGCCCATCTGTTTTGTGTTTTCCTTTCTTCTTTCTTGAATTTATTATCTTCGAACACACAGACATACACACACACACACACACACACAATCTTATGACTCTCAGTGATTTTTCAAAGACTTTAAGTGTTTTAAAGGAAAGTTTTATTTTTAAAAACATAATTTTTAAAAATATGTACTTATATTATGGATGTTTAAGTGTTTTGCTTGCAAATACATATATGCACTACATGTGTGCTGTGCCTGCAAAGGCCAGAAGAGGGGGCTGTATCCCCTGGAACTAGAGTTACCGGGAGCCATGAGTGACCATGTGGGAGTGGGGAATTGAACCTGGGTCCTCTGTAAGAGCATCAAGTGCTTGTAGCCATGGTACCGCCTCTCCAGCCCCTAGAGTAACTATTTTTTATCTTATCAAAGTACAAATTGAACATTTCTTATAAAAATTCAAATTCTGAAATGTTTTGAGCACCATTATGACACTCAGAGTGGAAAATCCCAAACCTGACTTCGTGTGATGTGTCACAGTAAACACTCACACACACCTGCACATGTGTGCACATGCATGCATGCAGGCACACACATGTATACACACTCATGCACACACACAAGTACACACACACGCACACACACATACAAGCATGCACACAAGCATGCACATATGTGCACACACACACCACACAAGCAACACACACACACACACACACACACACAGCTCCAAGGCTAACGGTATAAAATGTAGATCAAACAGATTAATTCTGTATTTGCCTTGGGTTGTGTCCTAAGATGCCTCACATTATAGTCTTAAGCAAATATTCTAAAATCTGAAGAAGTCTGAAACTCTCTGCCTCCAAGCATTCTGGGTAAGGAATGATCAACTTTATAAAAATCGGATCCCGGAGTGTTCCAGAACAGTGATTCTCAACCTTTCTAACGCTTCAACACTTTAAAACTGTTCCTCATGTTATGGTGACCCCAAACCATAAAATTATTTTTGTTGCTCCTTCATAACTGCAATTTTGCCACTTATGAATCATAATGTAAATACCTGAGTTTTCTGGCAGTCTTTTTTTTTTTTTTTTTTTTTGGTTGCAGCACACAGGTTGAGAACCGCTGTTCCAGAACAATGCATCTCAGGTAGCTGTGGTGTCAGCAGCCACTTCCCAGAGTTTATATATTTTCTGTCCAGAGTTTACACACTCTCTGCTTTCCACATGTGGTGTTAACATCCAAGGAATTGCATTCTGCCCAGAACCCTCACAATGTTTCATCACACCCATATTTCACCTCTCCCATCCCCGCCTCCCCCATCCCTGCCTCCTCCATCCCCACCTCATCTATCCTCACCTCAACCCTTCTCACCTCACCCATCCTTAAATCACAGACCAGATTTACTGCTTCCCTGGATTTTCATTAATTTTTGTTTTCCTCCATTTCACGTGTCTGGTTATTTTCACTTGAGCGCTAGACATCATGTGTGAAAGGAGATTTGTTTAAGGCTTGAACCAAAGTCTCCCCTAGAGGAGCCCTGCCTTGGCTCTGGCAGGCAGACAGGAGCACCAGGAACTGGGGTCTCCTTGAGCCACAGCTGGAGGGACAGTGTGCTGAAGTGTGTTATCAGTGTGTCCCTTCCTGTAAGAGAGTGCCAACAGACACCAGGATCCCATAGTCCCAGTCGTTCCTTGGGCTCAACCCCTCCTCCTTCCCCAGCCCCTGGACTCTGCCCTGGATTAAGGACTGTGAGGCTGGGGTACGGTAAAATGGCTGTTCTACATGTCCTCCTTTGCTCACAGGACCTCGTGGTGTACTCTCCTCAGCTCCAGGACAGGATGTCGATGGCATCACTGCTCTCTTTCTATTGCAGGATAATCAACCATGAAATTCCCCAACTCCCCGACAGCAAACTGGAGAATCTTAGCTTTTCCTCTGCTGGGCTCGGGCGAACCCAGAGAGGCATCATTTACTTCCTCCTGGAGGACCAGTTACTTCCTCCCGGAGGACCAGTTACTTCCTCCTGGAGGACCAGTTACTTCCTCCTGGAGGACCAATTCTCCCCTGTGAAACAGGCTGGGTGACACAGCTCGTCGTCCTTGTTGTCTGTGATGCAGAGACGCTGTCACCCTCTATCCTCGGGGTGACAAACTGAGATTCAGAGTGCGGTCTGAGTGGAACTCTAGAGTCAGGAAAGGGTCGTCAGCAGCAAGAGAGACATGAAACTCAGTGGGAGACCGGAGAGGCCGCTGTCACCTGAAGTCACGTGTCACGGGGTCAGGACTGATTGGGCTAACACGCCCTCCGAGCCTGGGACCTGAGTTTCGTGTCCTTTGTTGTGATTGTTGGTCCTTTCCAGGCTATCCTCTGTGGTGTATGGCGATAGAAGCCTCTAACTGGGGACACACGCATCCGAGCTCACGTCACGGACACGCCTAACAAGAGGCGTTGATCTATTCTCAGTCGGTAATTTTACCCCAAGCCTCTGATGGGCTCAAAGGAGCCTGATTTTTGATCACCAGGTATGGTTTCTGCGTCACAATCCAGAGCCTGGAGACACTCGGTTCAGGGAATCACAGCTGTGATGATTAATATTGATCGCCAGTCTGACACGATCTAGAACCCCCCCCCCGAGAAGGCAAGCCTCTGTGCCTGTCTGTGAGGAACTTCCCCTCATGGCTGGAGTCCTGGGCTGAATTAAAAAGAGAAAGGGAGCTTAGGACCACCAGTCACCTCTTTCTGCTTTCCGAGTGTGGCGGCAAGGCAATGTGACCGGCAGCCCTGCCTTCCAGCTACCCCGGCTTCCCCTCTATAACGGACTGTGTCTTTCTGAACTGTGAGCCACAGACTTTATCTTCACACAGCTTGCCTCCTGTCCGTCATCTCTCACTGCAGCAAGAACAGGGACGAATACAGAGGGGAAGAGTGAGCAGACACGCCTGCCTGCCTTGGAGTCTTCAGGGTCCATAGGTGAAGGGTGTGTGTGTGTGTGTGTGTGTGTGTGTGTGTGTGTGTGTGTGAGTGAGTATCTCTCTGTGTGTGTGATCTCTCTAGAAATGTGTTAAGATGCTTGGTTCCCATACCCAGGGTGGGGCGCCCATGACCTACACACCATGGTGGGGAAGACTGTCCTCCCAAGTCTGCTCTTACTTGGACTCAAGAAAGAAGATCACAACCCAGAGTGGGTCCCTTGCCCTGCAAGCTGCCCCACAAAGGGTTCCTTGGTCAGATAGGGTTTTGCAAATGTGCAGATTTTTTCTCCCACTGAGAGGCTTTCAAAGGTACATTCACTTATGTAACGCTCTGGGGCAAACCGGTACAGAAGAATGTGGTTAACTTCGCTCAGCCAGCTTCAGGCCTGGTGGGCATTTCCTGGGGGAGCCCCCACGCTGCTGCCCGAGGCTGCCTGATAGTGCACTGCGATTACGGAGCCACACGGAGTCCGAGGGACCCGCCACGCTCTCCTCTCCACTCTGGCTGGTTTTCTCAGCGCCTCCCTGCTGCAGGCTACCCCAGGCCGCAAGCTCTCTGCTACCCCCAGTCCTGATGCCTTCAGGCTGATGCAGCTGCCTAGGCTTTCCCAGCACCAACAAGCAGGGACCGAGAGGACATGGGCGACAGAGAGGCTGCTTGGAGTCTGGTCGGGTTACTGAGTTGTTCAGACCAGGACTGGCTGGGGGATGCCCTCGCCCCCCCCCATTTATCTCCCAGGGATACAGCTGGGAAAAGAAGAGGGTGCAGAGACTGCAGACCATCTCTTCATCCCCCAACCCTCCATCAGCCAACCCTCTCCCCCTCCCCCTCCCTCTCCCTCCCTCCATCTTTCCTCCTCCCTCTATCCTTTCCTGCCTCCAGCACTTTCTGTCTCTCCTATCTTCCTTCTTCTATCGCCCCTCCCCCTTTCTCCCCATCCCTCCTAGTCTCTTCTTGTCTGTTGTCCTCTCTCCTTTATTTATTTATTTATTTATTTTTGGTCTCTCCCGCCATCTCACTGTAGCTCTGAATTGGACTTACCCTGGTTTCCCCGGCCTCTAATTGGTCTACTTTGCTTACCAACTCTCCTGACCTTGATAGCTACTACTAGTAGGTACAACACTGGGTCAGAGAGACCGGGCTTACGCACACAGAATTTGTGGTCTACATAGCAAGGCGGAAGTGTGAGCGACTCATTCAAAATTCAGCGAAGAAGGTCATGGTGGTGTCAGTTTAGTGGGCTGAGGGCAGGGCTCAGCACACTTGCTCAGGTGTCCTGCTCATGAGGGCGACTCTAGTACCCCACCCCAGAAAGGCGAGGAGGCTGGGGCCGACGCCACGCCTTTGAGGGGCACAGGCAAAGAGCTTCCGACCTTCGTCTTCTGGGAGTCAGGGAAAGGCTCTGCCTGGGGCTCCCCAGAGTAGGACGCACCTTGTCCGGGGACCCAGACCTTCCTGCTTGTGCTGTGTCCTCTTACCTTGTGTCCAGAGTATGGGGATGAAGTCTGGGCTACCAGCAGCCGCACCATGGCGTCCCATTGCTCGGCAGTCTGGTGTTCCCGCGCAGTCACAGTAAAGGCCACCTGCTCCGAGGGGATCTTCAGCTCCCGGGTGGCGAAGACTGTCCCGTCCGCCCCGACTTTGAAGTCCAAGCTGTTGGTCTCATACTGCGTGCCTTTGGTGCCCAAGCAGCTGCTGAACTTGACTGCAAGAGGAGAGAAGATGGTCAGAGTGGCCAGCTGGCAGAGGGCTGCAGACACAGGTACAGCAGAGACAGGTACAGCAGAGACAGGTACAGCAGAGACAGGTACAGCAGAGACAGGTACAGCAGAGGCAGGTACAGCATAGACAGGTACAGCATAGACAGGTACAGCAGAGGCAGGTACAGCAGAGACAGGTACAGCAGAGACAGGTACAGCATAGACAGGTACAGCAGAGACAGGTACAGCATAGACAGGTACAGCAGAGACAGGTACAGCATAGACAGGTACAGCAGAGACAGGTACAGCAGAGGCAGGTACAGCAGAGACAGGTACAGCAGAGGCAGGTACAGCAGAGACAGGTACAGCAGAGACAGGTACAGCAGAGACAGGTACAGCAGAGACAGGTACAGCAGAGACAGGTACAGCAGAGACAGGTACAGCAGAGACAGGTACAGCAGAGACAGGTACAGCATAGACAGGTACAGCATAGACAGGTACAGCATAGACAGGTACAGCAGAGACAGGTACAGCAGAGACAGGTACAGCATCTGAGTCCCCCAGTAGCCCCAAGACAGTAAAAGGACCTCACTGGGGTCTCCACTGTCTTCCGGGAGAAGCAGATGGAGGCCAGGAAAATGGGTGCATGAGCATGCGCCCTCCAGATCCAGGTGGACGCCCTCCACTCCTGCCAAGCAGGGAGTCTACGAGGCTCAGAGGGAGCGGAGTCTCCACCAGTTGGAAGACTCCTGTGTTCCCGCCTCTTGCCTCACATAGTCTGCCTGTCCGCGTAGATGCCCAGCCTTTGGATCTGTTTTTGCGCCCAAGGAGATTAAGCGCAGTGAAGGAACCAGAGAAAGCCGGCGTCAGGACTCCCCACCACCACACACACACACATCAGGAACATTCCGGAAGTGGGATTTGCATGACTGGCGCTTCCCGTGACTGGGTGAGATCTGGCACTTGTCAGACACCTGTGTCCTGCCGGGGCAGGGGCAGGATGGCTGGCCTGGCTCAGCCACAGACTTTTCATGGTTAGTCACAGAGTCAATAAAGCCCGTTGACACTGCTGGGTACCCTGCATCATTTTACTTCCAAAACACAATTAGGCAACCAAATCGTCAGCCCCTACAGATGCATCAGCACCGCGGCCATTTCCAAATCCACCACAGAAAGAGACATCTCCGAGACTGCATATTCGTTTGGCCCACGTTAGTGCATTCTTTTTTAGACACATGCGTTTGTGACTGTCACCCCACTCTGTGGTAAATTATGAAGCACCAACAGCTGGTGTCACACTCTGCTGATAAAAGCAATGGATAAAGTTACCCAGTATTTATAAAAATGTGAGTATCTAAGCAATTATGGTGGGAGGATTGGTTTTATAAGCAATTTCACTGTCACAGCTTACATGATTTAATTACTATTTATTCTAGAAGCTATAAAAAAGTGACTTGCACTTACATTCGATAAAGTGTTTTTCCTGCATGTTCACCTTTTATTGTTGCCTGCTTTGAAATAACAAATAACACGTGGGTCCCCGTGTCTCCAATCATTCGCTAGAGGTGTCTCCCAGTTGCTGGTTCCTCCTGCTTGTGGGTTTAATATGAAAGTGTTTTTGTTTTATTATTAGTCGTATTTATTATTCTTTAGACAGGTTTTCCATGTGTAGCCCTCTCTGTCTTAGAACTCTCTTTGTAGACCAGGCTGACCTTGAATTCGGAGATCTGCTTGCCTCTGCCTCCAAGTGCTGGGATTAAAGACGTGTACCACTATGCCTAGCTTGAAAATGTTTTTAAATATAACAAGGCCAGGCATTTATGCCCTGTCAGGCGACAGAGTGGTCAGTGTAGAGAACCTGGCTGCATCTTCTGAAGGTCAGGGTGTCTCTCTGTGGCTCAGTATCCTTGAAGCTGGAACTAGGTGGTTTGCACTGTATCAGAGGCTAAGGTAACAAGGCATTCTCCCAGGTTTTCCTGTCACAGGGTCTGGGGCCTCAAATAACTTGATGTCATTATGACTTCATTTTTATGTGGGTTTGACTCTGCCCCCTGACAGAGAAGAAAGGCCTGGTCTTATTTATATTTGAAAACACTTCCAAGCCTGGCATAGCGGCTCATGATTTTAATCCCAGCACTCGGGAGGTAGAGACAGGCAGATCTCTGATCTGCAGAGTGAGTTCCAGACCAGCCCTGTCTACAGAGTGAGTTCCAGGACATCTCTAGAATGGAGATCTAGTCCACCATGATTTGGGAGAGGTAAGGGTCACCCTTACTCTGTGAGCATGCTACCCAGCTTAGTGCTTAAACCCCCACGGTATAGGGCTGGCTAGTGAGACAGCTCACTGGGTGACGGCACCGGCCATGAAGCCCGATGACTTGAGTTTGATCCCTGGGATCCGTAAGTCGGGAGAACAGAACCACACTGTCTTCTGACTGTGGCATATACATTGCCTCATGTGCTGACTAACCCCTCACATAGGCAAACAAACAGATTAATGAACAAATGTAGTAAAACCATAATGCAGAGCCCAGCGGACTGTTCTCCACCTGGGGGCCGCTCACTCAGGAGGGGCTTGCCCCAAGAGGGTTTGCTTTGCATTGCTAAGTGAATCCCTGCTTAATCCAGTCTTCGTCTCTCAACTGAATTCTTTCTCTCCAGACAACAAGGGCTGGAAAGTCCTGCTTCTCAGGAGGAGAAAGTGTTGGGTTGTGGCCCCCTGGCACTGTGTACTTTTCCAATGACGGATGAACTGGCTTTCTCTTCCCCCCAAATGAGGAAAAATTAGCAAACTGTTTGCCCCAGACATACACAAATTAAAATCAGCAACAGATCGAATGAACTCATCATTGCTTATCCCCAACTGTTACCAATAAAGATAAAAATGACCGTGGCTGTGTTGTGGTGACATCAGCGCAAAAATACACAAATAAGCCTCTATGAGCTCTAAAAGCCAATTCCTAGTAAAACTGATGAAACTTGACAGCACAGGGGATTGATCTCAACTCCTCTATGGGTGGTGGGTGGCAGGGAGCTTTCTGGAGCTGGGGGAGGTGATGAAGAAAGCCCTTTGGGGTGCAGCAGACCCCCTCGGAGAATTTCAATGGGCACTGGAGTCCTGGGTGCTGTGTGTGGCCTCGGCTACAAGGCAGTGCAGAGGTGAGTTCCACTGAAGCAAAGGACTGGCAGGTGTGTGTGTGTGTGTGTGTGTGTGTGTGTGTGTGAAATCAGTAGAGCCCAAACTGCATCGAATCCCTGCAGCTTGCTTCAGGGCCAAGCCATTGCAAATACCTTCTCTTCCCGTATTAGAGCTTTTAACGTATTTATTTATTTATCTATTTCTTGAGATACGGTCTCACTCTTTTGCCCAAGATGGCTTCAGACTCACAGAGGTATGCTTGTTTCAGCCTCCTGAGTGCTGGTTGGCATTACAGGTGTGCCCTACCCAGCATGGGGGCCTGGCTTCAGGGCCCTTTGAACATCTGCCCGTCTCTGAGGCTCAAACAGCAGAGCGTGCAGCAAGCTGGCACCCTCCAGCTGCTCCTGGCATTTTGTGCATCTCTTAAGTCACACCAGAGGCCAAACCTCACCTGCCAGAGCTCCTTCCAAAGCCCTGTTGTGTGGAAGCGGCCTCACACAGTCACCAGCCTAGCACTCCCCGGACATGAACACACCGCCACCATAATGGGTCCTCAACAGCCCAGCACCATTTCTTTTGTCTCTGCAGATGGGTTCAGATATCCTTGGCTAAAATGTTATCCTATGCCTCTTCTGTTTCCGCAGGCCCAGCAGCGCAGGTGCAGCCATGCATGCAGACACGCCTGCAGGTGCGTCCCATGCTTGTAGACACGCTTGCAGATGCGGCCCATGCACCCTGCATCCCAGTCACTTTGAGCTGGCTGCAGAAGGAAGCTCGGCTTTCATCAGGAGGCCGGCTTTCACCCCTTTTACCCTTTGTCGCTTTTAATTGCTGGCTCTGTGGGTGGAGTTGGGTGACACACTTTTGCAGAGGTGGCCTGGCATTCATGGGGGGCAGCAGGCTGCATCTTCCCAGGACCGAACACTGCAGAATTGTGCTGTGTCTGAGAACGCGCCATTTTATTATTTCCCTTGTTAGGTGAGTTGGGAGAGATCAAAGGAGCCAGAGGTGAGCATGTAGCTGGGTCCTTGCCCAGGAGCAGGTGAGCTTCAGGCCTGCTGTTCAGTGCGCAGAACCAGCCGTTCTTACCCCAGCTCCCCATCCTCCCTCCCTCCCTCCCTCCCTCCCTCCCTCCCTCCCTCCCTCCCTCCCTCCCTCCCTCCCTCCCTCCCTCCCTCTCTCCCTCCCTCCCTCCCTCCCGCAATTGCCCGGGTTCTAGGTGTGCAGGCGCAGAGCTCGCCCAAGTGGATCTTGGTGTGGGAAGGACAGCACATGGAGAAGCCAAGCGTGTAAACAAAACCCTAGTGGCCAGGACCACAAGGAGAGGTTAGAGAGGGGGCGGGCAGTGCAGAGGAAGCATCTGCCCCTCCTCAGTGTCAGGAAATGTCCTGATGTGGGACAGCCGTGTGAAGGCCCTGAGACAGCCGTGGGATGAGGAGGGGTCACGGACGATGCTTAACTGAGTGTGATGATGGGGGTGACCTTGTGGGTGTGTGGCTGTGTGAACTGCTGCTATCGCTGATGAGGAACCCACTGGAAACAGCCAAAGCTCTTCCTTTATAAGACTTGTGCAGGTAGCCTGTCGGGGGTCAGGTACCGGTGTGCGCCCCCCCACCCCGCCCCACCCCTGCCCCATCTCCTCCCCCCCCAAGCTCCCCCTCCCCAGCTCGGTTCTCTTCCACCCGCATCTTCGCCTTGTACCTGCTGTGATGTGTGGCCGGAACACCCATCATGAGGCGAGACGCTGTGTGCAGCCGGAGGTTGGTCAAGTCACAGCCCTGCACCCTTCGGCCGGCTCTCTGCCCGGCAGCTTGCTCCAGCCTGCATCCCTGACTCCCAGCTGAGATCCTCTCTAGGGGGCTGCCTCCTTCTGTGCTGGGATGTCTGAGGCGGTGGGGTGTGATTGATATCCCGGAGTACCAAGCCACTGGCCACACAGCCTCCTCAGGGCAGAGCAGCATGGAGATCTGGGACGTGTGGCTTGACACTCTGCTGGGTTTTCTTGCAAGGGGTCTGGTGGGGGTAGAGCTGAGGTTATTGCTTCTCTGATTCCCACCAGCCTAGCCTGGAAATGGGTAGGGTGTCCCCGGAGCTGCAGGCAGGCTCCTGGGGCCCTTGCAGGGTTCTGGTTTGAGGATCCCTTCCCCAGAAAGATGGATCTGCCCACTCCTTTATGAAGCCCCAGTGACCAACCACAGTATGAGTCCACCAAAATGGGAACAAATGAGTTGGACTTGCTTACATAACGTGGGTGATGGTTTTTTTTTTTTTTTTTTTTTTTTTTTTTTTTGCTGGAGACTGTGGGTGACCTCAAATGAACCACATTGGAAAATTTTCGCCCAGCATGGTGGAGGTCCCCACCCTGTTGACCTTCCTCAGTCCATTATTCTAGCACCGCCTAAAGACCCCAAGGCCATGGGCAGCTAGGGTAGAACTGTACCCAGATGAGTGGAGTTCAAGTCCTGGCTGTGCTTGAACCTGTGACCTGGGTGCCAACCTTATACAATGAGTGTCATCGAACACCTGCACAGGCTCCATCTCCATCCCAGGATGAGGATGAGCACAAAAGAGTCTCTTCCCCAGAAAATTCGCCATCCCTTGGGGAGGCTAGAATTACCAGCTGAGGCTGTACTGGGGACCTGTTCTGGATAGTGGCGGGGGAGACTGGTGGCTCTGAGGCCCCCTAACAGGAGACGATATGGGGAAAGAGCATTTCATAAAGGGGTCAGGCTTCCCGCCATCTGTGGGCTTAGGGCTGGCAGAAGCTGCCTCGTCAGGTGTTTGAGAAAGGACAGGGGATAAGCGTACAAACTCCAGTTTCCCTTGCTCTGACTGGCTTTGGATGGAGCTAGGATGCAGAATACCAAGTGGAGGCTGAGAAGATGGTGCACTAGGCATAGGCATAGGGATAGACATAGACATAGGCATAGGCAAGCCCAACTTTTCCATGGTGCAGAAAGGGCACCGTCTGGCATAGCAGGAAATCAGCCTTGTCAGGGCTGGGGAGGAGAAGAGGATGGACAGGTGGACATGGAGAAGGCCCAGGGAATTCTGAGCAACAGTATCGCGTGGACGCACATCACACAGATGCTTCTAAGACTGTGACCCCGGCAACTTGCTTAATACCAGGGTGCCAGCCCGGGCTGTCAATCGCAATGAATGTCGTAGGAGACTTGGGAAGTAGAGCAGCTGGGCAGGGAAGGGCGCACTGTCTGCTGTCATCCCACACCCTGGCTCTGCTGTGCAAAGTCAGACGTACCAAAGACAGACATTCTCTGCCCACTCAGCCAACATCTGGCTTCCAGAGAAACCAGGGCTTTTAGGAGTGTGAGAAACCCTGTGTGATGGCTGGGCTGCCCGCTGTGGACTTCTGTGGAATGGACTCTCAGTCAGTGACACAGAAATCTCACACCACGGTGACGTTACGTCTCTCACTGATGGGAGATCCCAGGATGCTCTTCCTGGTTACAAAGAGTCACCTAAAGTGAAACTCATGCAGTTTGCCCCCTCCTGGCCCCTGGCCCCCCAGTGTGGCACCACCAGACTCCCCAAGTCCTTAAAATTTATGACTTCAGGTAGAAACAGAAGTTGGGAACAACGAGAGAGCATTTTAGGCAAGGTTAAGACCAGAGCTATCCACGGAGGCTCCCTGAGGTGTTTGAACTTTGTCTAGAACTGCCCTGAGTTAGGTGGGAGACAGGGCTTCTTCCCTGGGAAGGGGAAGGGCTTCCGCAGGTAAGAGAGGGACCCTGGCTTCTTGTGTTGATCTCAGTCCTTTGGTTTTGTGAATCACTGTGCCGCTGTACTGGGCAACACAGACGTGCGAGCAGGAGGTGGGTCGTTTAGGGCTGTTCATTCTGAGTGGCTTTTCCAAGTGGTAAGAGAAACCAAGCCACGGGCACCTCATTAATAAACCCCACCAATGCCTCATTAGGGTGGAACACAGTGGTTCTTAACTGAAGAAAGCCCTAATGAATTCCCTAACCTAGCCACAGACACTCCGGTTCACAGAGGGCTGTCAGGCCCCAGGGAACACCACAGCCTCTTCTGCTCTGCTGATCCCAGCACCCAGAGGATCCACACTCATCTGTCCCATGCTGGTGGAAAATGTTGGCCTAGATATCAATGCCCTTCTCATACTGGCCAGGGGGTTGCCTGAGCCTCAGCAGGTAGGAGGGCTCTGGGCAGTGGTGGAGGGGCCATCCTCACCAATGTCAGCTTGGGAGGTGGAATTCCCGAGGACTCTGGAGAGGCAGCCCCGACGTCACCACTGCTCTCATTCAAGACTGTGGAGTCTGTTGAGCTCTTGGGGGGAAATAGGGGGGATTTTAGGATTCTTCAGAGAAGGTTTTTTTTCTTTCCTTGATACAACTAACAGTTCCAGGATATTCTCTCATCCATGTACTGATCCATTCACCCACTCATTCATGTCAGCTCAGGGTCTACCCCATGTCCTGCTGGACCCTCGCAAGCTTATGTGGGAATAGGCACGTCTCAGGAGAGGGAATGAGTACCAGAGCTATTAGCCGGCACTTCAAGGTGCCCATAACAGTGAGCACCAAGGCAGAGCTCTCCCAGGGTGCCTGGCTACCTGTCCCTTCCTCAGAGTCCATGCTGACCCCAGGGCCTTGACTTCCCAGATGGTTCAAGTTCACACGCAGCACTGTGGCTCTGTCCATCTGGTCTTGCTTCCCACCTTCCTGCTTTGTTCTAGAGACTTTCAGAAGGGGCTTTGTAAGGAAACTAGACACAAGTGTCTGTTCATGTCCCTGCCTTCAGCCCACCCAAAATAGGGTATGCCGGCATGCTTGTCAAGTCTTGGAAGGTCACAGTTGGGTTTGTGGGCAACTCTGCTAAGCTCTGAACACTCTCTTGACAATGGTGCTTGGGGAAAGGGTGCCGCATGGTGTCCAGAGATCTCGTGGAGCAGGTGGCGCTCACACCGTAGAGAGGGTGTTCTTTACTTCATGGCCCCGTGACTCTGGACCTTTCTATGGTGGGCCTGAGGTGCTGCTAGGAATGTGTACTCTTTCCTAACTGGGCAGGTGCGAACTAACATGCCCCTCTTTAGCCCTTGGCATGGATGATGATAATGCAAGAATGGCAGTGATGATGATGAATGACAGGGGTGACCACGATGATGTCAGAGCTGATGATGATAATTGACAGGGTGATGATGACGATGTCAGAACTGATGATAATAATAGACAAGGTAATGATGATGATGATGACTGATAGGGGTGACAATGATGATGCCAACTGATGATGATGATGATAATTGACAGGGTGATGATGATGCTGACTGACAGGGGTGACGATGATGATGTCAGAGCTGATGGTGATGACAACTGATGGGTTGATGATGGTGGTGGTGATGATTAGCAGGAGTGATTGGCTGGTGATGACTGACAGAGTCATTGCAAAGACTGACCAGGTGGTGCTGGTGACTTAGAGAGGTGTCCATGATGACAGCAACAGTAGTATCTAGCATAGTCAGTTGGAACTATGTGCCAGACTGGGTGGATCACAGTATACACAGGCACCCCATTCAGTCCCACTGAAGTCCTTGGGAGGGAAACCATCATCCCCTTTCTACACAGCACCACCCAAACCTAGAATGCAGCCTCTGCCTCCAGGGCGCATCAGCGAGGCGAGGGATGCTGCCGCAGAGGCCAGGGACGTCTCTCAGGCGGGAACACCTCCGGCATGGCATGCTGGCACGCCTCTCTGATTCATGAGCTCCACATGAACCTGTACCAGCACTACAGCACCTGCAATGGTGCTCCTGTATACTTGCATGTATGCACGTCTGTAGACGCACACGTGTGCTTGTATACACATGCTCTGTGTGTGCGCGTGTGCATGTGGAAGCCGGAGAACAAGCTTGGGTATTGTTCTTCAGACTCCATTCATCCCCCCCCCCCCCCCCTTTTTCAGGCAAAGATTCTCATCAGCTTAGAACTCACCAAGCAGGCTAGACTGTCTCTGTCTCCCCAGCACTGGGGCTGCAAACACACATCACATCTAGCTCTATTTTTTTTTTTTTTTTTGGTTTTTATGAGACAGGGTTTCTCTGTATTGTTTTGGAGGCTATCGGTCCAGCCCGGCCTCGAACTCACAGAGATCCGCCTGCCTCTGCCTCCCGAGTGCTGGGATTAAAGGCGTGTGCCACCACCGCCTGGCATAGCTCTATTTTTTGAAACGAGTAGTTTCTGGGGATTGGACTTGGGTCCCAGAAGTACTTCACTGATTGAAGCTGTCTCCCTAGCCCCTCCCTGTTTTATAGAGGGGCACACTACAATGGCAAAACATGGTGGCCACCTCTGCCCCACCCCCCCGGAGGTGTCGGCCAGACAGGGGGCCGTGAGTCCCCTCTCAGGAAGAACACTTCAGGTGCAGCACGGGGGCACACCTCTTCAGTTTACAGGCCCCTAACACTGGGGCTAACCTACGCCAGTACACCGTCAGCCATCAGAGCCCCTGTGTGTGTGGTGTTGTGGGGCGCAGAGGCCATGGAACGCATTCTCTCATCCAGTTTTCCTGCTGCTGGCCCTCAACCTCCAAAAACAGGGCTTCTGTCCCCTCCAAAGGCTCTGATCACACACTGGAGGTGGTGAGAAAGATGTTGGAGTTGACAGCGGTGGTGGGGGGGGCAGCGGCCCCATTGGGGGCTGCATCTTTAAAGCAAGGAGCAGGATGAGTGGGGCTATTTTTAGAACTGCCAACCTCTCTCTCATTAGCATCTCACACATCGGGATGGGGCTAATGAAATCATTTGTAATCAGGGCCCAGGTAGAGAGACGACTCTTTCTAGTCCGGAGCTCCTCCCCTACTCCCTTTCTGTTTACCTAGGGGGTGCGTGATGGCGGCTCCCAGTCCCTCAGTCCCTGCTCTTCTCATTCTTGTCTTTCTCCTTTCAGGGCGGGTGCTGCTGGGTTGTTTCCTGTTCTACATTTTCTTCCTGCTCTGGGCTTCAGCCTTAAGGCTGGAGGAGGCACAGCCTCTGGGTCTCTTAAAATCTTATGGAGAGAGAAGAGAGAGAGAGAGAGAGAGAGAGAGAGAGAGAGAGAGAGAGAGAGAGAGAGAGAGAGAGAGAGAGAGATCCTGCAGATGTTTGGGAAGAAAGGAGAGGCTGAAGCCTGGGAAGGCCTGGAGCCACTGTCCCAGGTCCTAGAAGCGGGGGACACA